TTCTAAAGCCATCAAAAGAATCAACTTTGTGATTTACTGCTACAATTAATAATTGTCTCAGTAAATGCCCAAACCCTACAGAACTGGTGCCTTCAGAGAGTCACTATGATTACATATTTGGCGTCCCTGAACCGGTTTTCCCTACACATGTTTAATGGCCAGGCTGTTTGTCATTTTGCTAGGGTAGTGCAGTGGGTTACAGATAGCTAAATATCTGTCATAAGCCATAACTGTAAGAAGAAAACCTTCAGCTATACCCAAACTCATGAAAAGGAACATTTGAGCAAAACAAGCCTCAAATGAAATTATGCTTGAGTCAAACATGAACCTAGCTAACATTTTAGGAAGAGTGATAGAGGGAATGGAAATATCTAAAAATGCAAGATTGCATATCAGTACGTACATGGGAGTGTGAAGGGATTTGTCAAAGACAAATATGAGTATGATCAACAAGTTTCCCAATACAATTATGAGGTAGACTACCAGGAATACAAAAAACAGGATGGTTTTGCTCCCCTGGTCTTGAAGCCCAGGGAAACCAATAATGATGAATTCTGTAATTGATGATCCCGTGTAGTTAGTCGTAGACATTGCTTCTTTATAAAACAAATTCCAGTGAGGAAAATTCCTGAGAACCCTGTAAAAGTAACAACTAAATTAAAAATTAAACTGGAAGATATGAAATCAAGTTCTTATATTGCAAACTTTGATTCTCTTTGTTCTTAATGTTTAACAAAATATGGAGTATTTGAAAAAGTGATGTTTGCAAACCTTAATTTATAATAATATTATAAATTATAAATTTATAAATTATATTTGAAGACATCCAGAGATAAAGTAACATCCATTCCACATTATGACCAAATATCAATGTTTGCTTTCCAGGGCTCCAGACTGCGACTGAAATGGTCGAAAATGCGACAAAAAAAATAAGAAGTTTCGACAATAATTGAAAATCTATACTACATTAGCGTCACACACCAAAACTTTATGTTATTTTATGTTGATATGTGGTCAAATTTAATTTGGTGATGAGGCGTTACTTAATTACATTTACACGCCTTTAGGTCCCTTCATCACAGCACACTGCAGCGACTGGTGGTTAAAACTAAAGGTAGCAAGCTAAGAAGAAGGTACTGCAAACGTTCCACACGCTAGCTGATCTGCTAACAATGGTGAAGCGTAAAATTACAGACTTTTGGATTAATTAGTCAACGGCCATTTCAGAACTTCGTGGCTTCAGTTATTTGCTTGGCTTAAGTATGAAAAAGTTAAACAAATCATGTATTGCGACTTTTGTTGTAAAGCCGGTCAGAGAGTTGCAGGGAAAGCTGTGTTTTCAAAGGGACGAATTTTTTAAAAAAAGAAACTGTAAAAAAACTTGGAGTCAGAAGCATACTGATTGAAGCTCGTGATTTTGTAATTGTGAAGTATGCCCCAAGGCAGACACCTTTAGCCCGTGTCTGTGAAAAAACAGCCGAGAAAGACTTTAAAGAACTAAAAATTAAATTTAATGCAGCCTACATGATCGCACGCGAGGAATTACCATTCACAAAATATGCCTCCCAAATCTTGCTAATGAAAAAGAATGGAATCGATGAATCAAAGATGTATAATAATGACACTGCATGTGGTGGGTTTATTGGGTGCATTGCAGATTAACTATTTTGATTCTGAAATCTGGGAACTAAAAAAAGTCATTTGGCTCCTAAATGTTTCATTTTAGAAGCCAGTGGCTCCAAAGTATTTTTTGGTCTGGAGCCCTGCTTTCAATTGATGATATTAAACATGTAGGCTTTTAAAGGCTAACTTTTATTAAAGGTTTAAAATAAATACTAGTCTCAACTTTAAATAAACAAAAAATGCAACTGAAGAATTACAAATTTGTAATGTTAGAAAATGTAAGGAAAATAAAAGTATTAATCAGCATTGTTAACACAATTTTATAGTCCATAAGTACATCGCAATGTTCCATTATATATGTCAGTGTCTGTCTTCCCAGTTTGTGAAAAAGAAAACTTTGCCAGCTGTTGTGCAGAAGATCTTACCTTCTGATGCAGGTCGGAGGTCTGAGTAAGATATTTGATTCACAGTGAGAGCAAACATTTTTATTGTGCTTAATGTCCTGTGAGGCAGGCTAATAGCCTCATTACAGTGATACTGTAATTACCCCGCTTGGGATGATCACTGGCAGCCCCTAAGCAGGGAAAATAAGATTGGTAAAGTGGGAATTGATGAGATGGGTACTGTAGAGTAGACAATGGACTCACATTCCAATGAAGTTAATGAATCAATCTCAAACAGTTAGGAACTGAATCACTAATGTAGCTAATGCTTATTAATGAGACAGAATTAGGTATTGCTGTGCCTTCCCTACTGAGGCCCCATCTTTCTCCCATCTCTGTGGTGCTGGCCACAGGAGGTATTCATGCTGGAATGTTCTTTACTGATAAGGGATGGTTGGGGGTGCAAGCCATGCCTAGCTAT